TTTTTTTTTTGCCCTTTCTCTTTCTGGAATCTGACAGCGGAATCTGTGATTTGCACAAGCTGTGTTTCCTCAGAGGATTGTGACGCTGATCGCACAGGAATGTATCCAGCCGTTTTCACAGACGAATCCCTGTTTCCGTTTTTTTCTTTTCTTTTCTTTTGTCTTTCTGGAATCTGGCCACGAGGCTGAGATGCCCTCATTGAGGGCACACTCACACTACCACTTCCAAGAATGTATTCAACTGCAATCACTGCCAAAGCTTTGTTTCCTTTTTTCTGTTTTTGTTACGATCCTGGCCAATGTGGAAATATACATTCATGAGAAAGTACAATGCCGTCCAATTGCAAAAGGAAATGAATGAACTTGCGAGGAGAGAGAGGGAAAGAAGTAGAAGAAGATGAAAGAAAGAAGAAGAAGATGAAAGAAAGAAGAAGAAGAAGAAGATGTACACCAGTAAAGACCAATGATAATTCCCTTCTTCTCGCCAACCACTCTCCTCCTCCTTTTCTCCTCCCCTCTTATCCAGAATCAATGTCCGAATCCCTCTTCTACTGCAGGCACGACATGAGGTCCACCATAGCCATGGCCACCCTTCTTCTTCCTCTTCGTGTAGTCCAAGGCTATGTCTGACTACTAGGGTCTCTCCCTGCTGTGCAAAGGACAACACAAAGCAGCTATGCATGCTGCTGTTCCGGCCGTCCCGCCCGACCCCGCCTTGAAGCCTTCTTGGTGCGGTGCAGATGCAGCGCCTAACAACACAAAGCAGCTATGCATGCTGATGAAGATGGTGCCCACCATAGCCAGGTAGGTACCTCGCCACTCTCTTTCTCAGTCCTCTTCTCCCTCCTCCTCCTGCCAGTAGAGCTCCACCATAGCCAAGGTGGGAGCTCCCAGTCTCCTTCCTCCTAGCAGTGCTGCTCCAGCCACCGCTCCGAGCAGTGTGTCGCCAAACTTGCACACCGAAGAATGAGGAGCACTTTGCTCCTCCTGGAGATATTTTGGCCTACTTGGCTCTTGTGCAGTGACTTCCTAGACCGCGCGGCCTCCAAGCAACCAGTACCTCCTCCCTTTCGGAGGGAAACATCATTGCAGACTCTGATATTGCCAGTACAGGCCCCGGAGTCAGACTGGTTGGACTGGTACCTGCCTAGACCTAGCCTGCAACTACTGGGCCTCTAAAAATGCCAACTTTTGTCTTCTTCTGCTCGGCCTCGAGTACCCGGCACATCTACTTCTACTTGGTGTGGTACCGACCTACCTGCTACTTGAGTGTTTTCCCGCTGCCCTAAGTATCACGGGCCTCGTGCCCCGCCACGTAAGTGTTTTTCCCCCGCTGCGACCCTCGATGTCATGGTCACAGGTACGTACCGGCCCTACGGGCCTCCAAACAAGCAAGTACCCTTGGGGGTCACACACACACTCAGGCCGACCAGCACTCACACAGGCACGCAGACCATCAAGCACGCATACACACACAAACTTAGAAAAACTCAGCAGACTGTGGGAATCTCGGCAAGGCATCCATTCCAGCGGCAGAACTTCAGAAATCAGCAGTGTTCTCAGTCAATGTTTTGGTGGGTCATTACATTTTCTTCTTTATTGAGTTTCACTGCCGCAACTTTTCTTCTTCTTTTTTTCTTTTTTTGTTCTTTCCCAGAGAGTACCAGGAAGAAAATGGAGTGGGACCCAGGCTCGGCAAGAACAGGCTCGGAGGTACTAGTGGATCTTAAACAAGGAAAGGGAAGGCAATCACCATCTCCAACAACCAATACTGCAACAATCTATCCCAAAATGCATGTATAACCAGCCAACCGTGTCGTTCTGC